AATCTTCTGTTTAACCAAAGCGTAATATAATAATCTTCTGTTTAACCAAAACGTAAGATAATAGTCTTCTGTTTAACCAAAACGTAAGATAATAGTCTTCTGTTTAACCAAAACGTAAGATAATAGACTTCTATTTAACCGAAACGTAAGATAATAATCTTCTGTTTAACCAAAACGTAATATAATAATCTTCTGTTTAACCAAAACGTAATATAATAATCCTTTGTTTAACCAAAACGTGAGATAATAATATTCTGTTTAACCAAAACGTAATATAATAATCTTCTGTTTAACCAAAACGTAATATAATAATCTTCTGTTTAACCAAAACGTGATATAATAATCTTCTGTTTAACCAAAACGTGATATAATAATCCTCTGTGCTAAAAAGTAAAACTAAAGTGGTCTCGAAATTATAAAAACTCTTGTGCTAATTACACGTGTAAAAAACACAATAACGAAGTTTTTTAAAACAAAGATATAATTATTATACCCTGATGTTTCTCACCTTCCACAACGGTTTGCAACTGCTCCCCCTGAAATCCCTCCCACCATACCACCTATAGCAAATATGGAGACGGTGACAGACCACAGGAATTCTTTGAAGCTTTCTGTAATAATTTCTTGCATTCTTCTCTCATAGATGTCTGATATAAATTCTTTAATAAGCTGAAAGACAAGTACACTGTACACATACATATATACATACATACATATATATAATATTTTATGAATGACACACCAATAAAAATACAAACTGTAAGGAAATAGTGAAGAAAAAAGGACAACAAAATTCAGTAATATCTGGGAGGCATTGCCATAAAGTTAGGCACAAAATACTCGTTAATTACAATTCCACGACTCCAAGGAGAACACTTGAAGATACAGTCATTCATCAGTCAATATCTCTGTCTTCTGTTTTTAATTTTTATTGGACAATATTTTATATTCTATTTCGTCAAGTAAGCAGTTTAATATAGCGAAATATGCTCAAGCAAAATCTGCCCGTTCTTTCTAGGGGTGGGCTTCTGGTCAGTAGTAAAATTTTGGTCAACGATGAACTGTGGTAAATTTTAGTGAATATGGCAAGTATGCTAATACCCACACCGTGTCCCTTCTCACCCAAATTCCACCCAAGCGATATTTAAAGGTATTTTATAGTTTATTAATTATAATTAGTAAGTACTGGGAAAATTGTAATACAGCGGTTCATTTCTTTCATATTTACAATTTTCACTTACACCCCCCCCCCAAAAAAAACAGCACTCAGTATTACCTGTAAAGTCACTTCCGGTTCTTTGTTTATTGTACGTATATATATATATATGTATATATATAAATTTATACAATGTTCTCGATAATTATGTGACTAACGATCCAGTCTGACCACGTGTATTTATTCAAAATCTCCTTGCGACTGGTTCAGAAAGATAGCTTTATTAATATACAATACCACTGTTTTTGTACACTCGTTATATTTCACAGCTTCATGCTACTAAGACCTATGCGTATAAACCATATTTTTTATGTGCGTCCATTAATATAGCTTTAGAAATTTTATACATGTACCTATATAGTTTTTACAAATTAAAGCATTTAAGTAAGTGTTGTATTTGAATCGTTTGATGATAATATCTGTTTATCTTTGTGTCACAATCTCTAATGTCGTTAAAACTGTATAGGTAATTATATACTTATATGAAAACGCGTCCATAAAAAAGACACTTTTTGTGGTTTTTAATAAACAGTTATCAATAAGACAACTGACCCTGCAGCAATCTAAAGTTTTCACATAATTTAGATTAATTGGCTGACAGAATAAGGACAAAATGTAATGTTTTAAGAAATAGAAAGTAATATGGCTCCTGGATTCTGTCATGCTGAAACATTTGATATTTAGAGATAAGACAGATATGTAGTATGTAACTTACAACATGAAGTAAAGAGACAATCTATTATTTATTACGTGTTCGAATTTTATTGTAAAGAAAAGAAATTACATGTTGCATACAAACTACTGTATGTATATATTGTGTCATGAATACAAGAGGGTTTTCTTTTGGATCTGCAAGTGTAGAGTCGAGAAGGTTGGAAATTATCACTACTTGACCTAAAGTCAGAGTAGAGTCGAGAAGGTTGATTAGTGGTAGTAGGGGAAATTATCCTACTTGACCTAAAGTCAGAGTAGAGTCCAGAAGGTTGGTTAGTGGTAGTAGGGGAAATTATCCCTACTTGACCTAAAGTCAGAGTAGAGTCGAGAAGGTTGGTTAGTGGTAGTAGGGGAAATTATCACTACTTGACCTAAAGTCAAAGTAGAGTCGAGAAGGTTGGTTAGTGGTAGTAGGGGAAATTATCATTACTTGACCTAAAGTCAAAGTTCAGTCGAGAAGGTTGGTTAGTGGTAGTAGGGGAAATTATTACTACTTGACCTAAAGTCGGAGTAGAGTCGAAAAGGTTGGTTAGTGGTAGTAGGGGAAATTATTACTACTTGACCTAAAGTCAAAGTAGAGAAGGCTGGTGAGTGGTAGTAGGGAAAATTATTATTGGA